TAGCCTAAGTTACTCCTTATGTCATCAGCTATCTGCAAAGCTGCAAACAGACAGACAGACAGACAGACAAACAAAAATTGTAAAAAATGATATTTTGGCATATGTACTGTGTAAACATATATATGCATTTAGTAAAAGGCGGTTATTTTAATATTACAAACAGACACTCCAATTTTATTTATTTGTATAGATAATATTTTTCGGTCATCTGACACACAACGCCATCTAGAATCAAACTAAGCAGAGCTTGCACTATGAAAGCTAGATTGATTAATAAAATACTTTTATACTTTTTTTTGTTATTGACAAACAATAACAATAAAGAAAAACACCTAAACAAATATTAGTACATCATACAAACGTTTGGTTTGACCCGGGAATCGAACCCGAGACCTCAACACAGCAGTCGCATACGCTACCACTGCACCATCGAGGCAGTCAATATATGTAGAATAAAGTTACTGAAACCCAAAAAAATAAAAACAAGTAAAACTTACAACATCCCTTTAACTCTCAACGAAGAGAGTTCCACCCTAGGGCTCTACAATAAGCCCCACCTTTATACTTCTTATAACCTTCTCTTTATACTAATACAAAACAAAAAGTATACCTCCATGTAGTACAGTACCTCCAGCCATATTACCTCCCTTTCCCTCCCACTACTGAGCAGTGGAGCGCAGATTATATTTTAACGCAATAATTCTACGTGATCATACCGCGTTTACGAGATTCGGTCACACACGGCATCAATGGCGGAAGGATATGTCTTAAGGTATTGTATTTTTTTAAGTTTTTATTAAATTAGAATTAGAGCAACAATAAGAGCGAAGAGTATCTATACTAATATTATAAGGCTGAAGAGTTTGTTTGTTTGTTCACTAGAATTATTAATTATTAATATTGAATAGCCCATTTACCGAGAAGGCTATATAACATCACGCTACGAGCACCACAGGAGCCGAGCATCACATCATCATCATCACATCAACAGCCTTTAATAGTCCACTGCTGGACATAGGCCTCTCCTTAGAAAGAATGTTTTGGCCTACTATACCACGCTGGCCAGACGGGTTGGTATAGGGTTTGTGGTATAGGGTAGGGTTTGTGTCAAGTTTGGGAGGGGTCCAGAAGGCGATAACTACCTGGACCCCTCCTAAACTGGAAGCGCAAAGAGGGCGCACCGTGTGGTTTTAGTCGGTTCGAGTCCGACACACCGCCCCGCCGAACGAGAGCCCCGGCGGGGTGACGGTCCGAGGGGATTTCCACACGTAAAAAAAAAAAGGGTTTGTGTCAAGTTTTCCTTCTTTTTGCAGTGCTAGTGTCCTGCGTTGTTTTGCGCCCTTAGTCGGCTCTTACGACACCCACGGGATGAATTGGGGTAGTGACATTCCGTATTCTTAATCCGTCACTACACGGACAGGACAGGAGATGAGCATCAATGAATAATGTTGCAAAAACTAGTCAGCTAGTATACTCCATAGAGATCAAACAAACAAAAAACCAAGATTAAAATCTTAAGTTATAACACATGACCTTACCTCGTGTATATGTAAGGTATACCCGCCGCCGCTGTTGAGATTAAATTTGCCCAAATTTGAGTGGAGTTGATATTCCGTGTACACCTCTGACAACAGCTTCTGATATTATATTGCATCAAATTTAACTTAAAAAAATAATTAAATGAATATTATTTAAATAAATGTTATAACGTTAATATAAGATTACATTAAAAATACAGACAGTGAACATAAACTTGGACTCTTAGGAAAGTGACTACCTCCGGCCATTGATCCCTGCAACTGAATGGATACAAGTGCATTGGCGCCCTTTAATTGACCCCCCCCCAAATTGAAGAGTTATTGGAGGGCTGGACCTTTGAGAACTTTGCTTCGGATATCTCAATAGCAGCAGTTCCCGGATCCCTTCGTTTAAAGGCGCAGAGTGACACACCGTGTGGTTTTAGTCGGTCCGATTCCAATTCACCACCCCGCTCTGGTTTTCTGTGAGGTAGTGGCATCACTCCAGTCGAGCTGGACCCATACTGTGCCCGGCCCGGAAGCATGACTGTCTTTCATTATGACTAAAAAGGCTCATTTCAATCATTATAATGGAATCTAAACCTTATATATAAGACTATAGGTTTTATTTTCAGCTAAAAATTAGGTAGTTTTCACACTATGCCTTCTTAGCGCCTCATTCCACCTGGAGAGCACCTATCCCACCGATATAGCCCGGCGCTGGTTACAATATATTCAATAAGGTCGATGACATCATGGCCCAATACTAATTTCAGTGACGCTCGATAGAAGTAACTACAGTCTAAAATTATAATAATAATAATATTGGACTGTTATTGCCAATAAATAACCCTGATAGAACCATTACGGCACCGCGTAAATTGTCGATATCTCCGTTATTTATTACGAAAAAGATTAACAAATAAAATAATTTTATCTGTCTCACAAGACGCTCGAGAGGTACATACATGAAATGTGGTTCGGCGATCATTGTTCTAACATCGATTCTGACGGCGATCTGTTAATAGGTTGAGAGCCGAGGCGATGTTTCTGCGTTTTTTATTTTCTTACTATTTAAAATCGGCGCAAACTGTAACATTGTAAAAGCTTTAGAAAATAATTATTTAGCAGTGCCAGAATTGTTTAGGCCTTTAATTTATACCAATGTTGTTTTCTATTGAAAATAATATGCCATATTTATTTTAAGAAAAAGTCGTACTCCTACCTGAAAGGCCACCAGAGCTGCAGATATCTACTGTGGTTGTCCATTAGGTGACCCGAACCTGTTTTCCCATCTATTAGGTATAGGTGGGAAAACGGGTGCCTTTTTTTTTTTTTTTTTTTTTTACCTACCATAAAAAAGATCAATTCCTCGGAGCACTCTCCATGATACAGGCGATGAAAGTTAAAACCCGAAAGTGGAAACTTGCCTGGAGGGTTGTATCGCTACCATAGAATAATATTCAATTATTAAAACAATAATACGCCCTCACGGTTCCCCAGAGACGTGGGTGAGTAGCGCCATCTAGTGCCTCTTAAGCGAGTAAACCTTTTCCTAATCTGGTTAATATATTTTTTCACTAAAATTTATTGATCACTTTTATGATTGGGGGGAACGAGGTTACTGGTTGTTCAATAACTTTAATTCCTAGGGAGGTTAGCAGTTAAATGTTATTTTTTTAATTTATAGAAAAACAAGGGAGACCTAATTGTTTTATTTCAAATCTATATTCCTTCGATTGTCAACTGTAACAGATGTTGTTTTTATTTCTATTTAGTATGTAGTGTCAGTGAAATTATTGTCATGGCATTGCCTGACGTTTCGACGTACTGCGCGTGGCGGTCAGTGCAGTCTTCCTTTTTTTTTTACTTCGCTGTAATCGGTTAATGATACACATACAAAATCATTTTTTGAGTATTAATAGATGGATGTCGTTTTACAAAATAAGTAAGACTCGCTATTGTTTCGTAACGTGAATTGGTCCAATATCACATCACACATCAACAGCCTTTAATAGTCCACTGCTGGACATGGGCCTCTCGTTACAAAAAAAGGTTTTGGCCTACTATACCACGCTGGCCAGACGGGTTGGTATAGGGTTTGTTTCAAGTTTTCCTTCCCTTTGCAGTGCCATTGTCTTGCATAATTTGCTCCCTTAGTCGGCTCTTACGACACCCACGGGATGAAATCGGGTGGTGACACTCTATATTCTTAATCCGTTACCACACGAATATATCAGTATTAATAACTAATACTAATGAATCGGGCATATATTATATGTTACTAATATCAACATAACATAGTTCATTTCATATGTAGGTTAATTACGAAAAGAAAATATAAAACTACCACAGAGTATTTGATAAATCCAGTCATTAGTTTATGATGAAGAATTTAATAAATCAATGATACTAAAATATATCTGTGTTTGATAGGACTTTCCATTTTGACGATTGTAACGGATTTCATACATCTCCGGGTAATCACCACTAACCTTTAGACATCACTAACTTGCAGTAGTTTATCAAAAATAATTGTCCCTTAGCTGCTATTGATTTTAATAACTAGAGAACGTAATAAATATCAATAGTGAAACAACACCTTGGAGGGAAATCGAAGTGTTAAAATAAATAATCAATGTTAGACACATAAATAAAAGGTTACAGTCTTACTACTAAATTTTTATGCACGGTGTATACCAGGCTTTAGCATTAACGGTTTCAATTTGTAAAAAAATCATGTCACAGTCGTATACATTACAGTTTTATTAAAATAATTAATATAAAATACTTTCAAACTTTCCTAATGTAAGCACCATCTGTTGCTGAGTAGCGTGTATAAACCATGATTTCAAAAATGACATAAATGGATGTAGTTTGACTATTTATTTATTTAATTAAAGTTCAGCAACAGTTGTTACAGATATAATAGAGATAAGAATACACATTTATTTGTATCTTAAATCTAACTGCACAACCAATTGAAAGCAAAACTACATGCTAAATAATTATTGCTAGATGTCACTACTAAGCTACAATCGGTTCTGTCTATTTGATAATTTCAAATGGATACAATGGTTTCACTTATTTCAAGATTTAATTTTAACAAAATCGGCCTAAAAAGAAAAATAAACTTTTGAAGTATCAAATCAGAGTCTAACTCCAATTAAGGAAATACCTCTCAACATTATTTTTAATATTGTATAAATAGATTTATCATGTACGAGTATAACTGGTTTAATTATAATAATGTAAGTAAGTATATAAGTAAACGTTATTTACATTTCAAAATTATGTCAATTTCAATTAAACTTAATTTTTTGCAGAAAAGGAACGTATTTCCACATGACACTGACATTTGTTATCAAATAGACAGAATTGTTTTGATTCAAAACATTGAAATTCCGGTGACCACCGAAAAGAAGTGTTGTTATATAATTCCAGAGAGTAGTTTCATTTGTAAATATAAAAAACTCAATTAGGATGGAACAAATATACGCGCTTGGTATAACATGTATTGAATTTGTTCAAGAATGGTAAAGTATTGATTTTTATGTTCTGTCGCTCTACGATTATTATTTCCGTCTGTTTTTTTCATTTATGGATGTTGATTATAATTATAAAATCAAGGTCGTATAGCTCAAACGCGTGTCTAAACTTGGTGCAAGCAGTAACTTAAGTTATAATGGATGTTAATAGCATTTTCAAGTTAAACATGATGTACAAAGTGTTTTACACGTTTTTAATTATTAAGCCAAAAATAAATATATATCACTAATTACACTGGGGTTTTTTTTTACCTTGATAAATTTTTATATAGCGTACTTCATTCTGAACAAAATTATTTTAAATAGGGGAAAAGAAAGAGAAAAGGATTGCTAAGGGGCAAGGCGCACACGGTGTTTCATCAAACCCGTCTATAACAAAGCTGCGGCACACATATAGCAGATTAATAGTGTTCTAATACCACATATTCCAAGCTATGTTGTCGTGATAAAAAGAAGCCTGCTCTTCGCTATGGTCTCATCTATAAACACACATCGTCTCATTCCCATCTCTGAGAGGCATAGATGTTAAAACACCATTTGCCACAATCCAACACATAGCTCGCACATCATGTATATTTTATTTTTTTGTGATAAAAGGCAAACGAGCATACGGGTCACTGGTGATAAGTGACTACCGCTGCCAGTGGAAACCTACAACTCAGAAGTCACAAATGCTTTGCCGTCCTTTGAGTCTTCCTCTACAGAATCAGGGGAGGAATAGTTTGGGCTTCACTAGACAATAATCAGGCCTTTCATATATGTTTATTTATTATAAATCTACCTAGGCTTATAGGCGTGAAAACATAACTAATATTGTTTTTTTTTTAAAGGTTTACTAGCAACCGAAATTACTAGTATTCCCGTTAACCCCTCTAAGCTAAATTGCTTGTGCTAAAAGTGGGTTCATGTCCGCAGTGTACTGGTCAGGATTCAAAGCCATGTCCTTTTGATCGCTACTATACCACGCTGGCCGGATGGGTTGATAAAGGTTTTTTTTCAAGTTTTCCTTCTCTTTGCAGTGCTCTTGGTCTGCATAGTATTGCTCCATTAGTCGACTCTTACGACACTAATGAAATGAATAGGGGTGGTGACACTGTATTCTTAATCCATCGCTATACAGAAAATAATATTAAGTATAGAGACTTATTTTATCCTATTTTTTTTTTCAGGTTTTCTGGCAGTGAATGGTATTTTGAAATTGTGAATAATTTATCAAACCCACACCATTTAACCGAAATCTTGTTTCCTTTGATAACTGTTGTGGATTCTGTGTTTGGCGCTCAGTTGCTACTATGTATGGCATTTGGTGGATGGCTAACATCTCTTCTCAAATGGTATGTATTTCTCATGCGGTTATTAGACTCAGACATCACATCAACAGCCTCTAATAGTCCACTGCTAGACATGGAATGTCATGGCCTCTCCTGAGGAAGGAGGTTTCGGCCTACTATGCATCACCAGACGGGTTGGTATAGGGTTTGTTTTGAGTTTTCCTTCTGTATGTAGTGACTAGTGTTGTTGTTCTGCGTAGTTTGCTCCCTCAGTCGGCTTTTACGACACCCTTGGGATGAACACTGTTTTCTTAATCCGTCACCACACGGACGCTAGTCGTATGTAAATGGTTTTTTTTTACAAAATGAAGGTACACGCCATACGGGATGAAGGCCTGATTGAATTGAATTTCTTCCATTCTTCTTTTTAATCAGGTGTCTCCAAGAAGACCGTCCGTACTGGTGGGTTCGCGAAACAAGTTATTACAACACACTAGACAGGCCAGAACTGCGACAAACCTTACAGACCTGCGAGACAGGACCTGGGTCTCCGTCTGGTCATAGCGGAGCAGCAGCCACAATCATTCTACTCATACTTATGTGGACCAAGCATGTAATGCATGATAGGTATGTACTCCTATTTGTTTTCTTTTTAAATAAAACGAACATATTTAAATTTAGAACTATTAATGGCATAGATGGCTATCAAATCAGTATCTTTCATTAAACGTCAAAAGAATAGACGCGGTACATTGTTACATGAAATGCTATGGTGTGATGTCATACCTTGCTAGTATCAAATTTTTGAACCCACAACACTCGGCCATCCGTCCGTCTTATTTATACTATTTAATGGTGATTTAAATAATGGAAACATTAAAAGCAATTAAATTCTTAATGGAAAACAATTCAGGCTGTACTTTAAGATGTTAGATTTAATGATGCAAGAGAATTAATTTATTTTAAACCTAGGAATCTACCCAATTGTTATCGATATTAGATACACCGACTTGATTTTTTAATTTCTTCTTCCTATCATTTAGACGTGACATTTATTACAGACAGTGTTACGTTTTCTGGTGGAAATACGTAATGTACCCAATGTCAGTCTTCGCGATGGGCTCTGTCGTACTCTCTAGGATGTATATAGCAACACACTTTCCACACCAGTGTCTCATTGGCGCACTTTTAGGTATGTATACTGACATAACATTACACTATTTTTCCTCCTAGGTTGTGGTCGGCTTCGAGTCTACTACGATACGGCTGAACTTCCATTTTTTATGCGTATTCAATTCTCAAATTCATTCAATTCTCGTAATAAAAGTACGGTCTCAATTCAGTTCCAATCAACTTAGGATCTCACAACTGTCATAAAAGTTATTTTTAACCTACTTTAAAAAAGGAGGTTCTCAATTCGTCGGCATCTTTTTTGAAAAATTCTTTTTTCGTTTTAAAGGGTATACTTAACAGGTTTATTAAATGTTATTGAAATCGTTAAAGCGATTTTCGAAAAATCAACAAAAATCTGAAAGAGCGTTTAAAAATTCTTTCTTAGTGCACACAGTATGTCACCTAAGAAACATTTGTCAAAAAATTTCATACGTCTAGACTCAACGGTTTCAGCTGTGCCTTGATGGATCAGTCTTCGTTCATAGATATAGAGAAGTACGGGAAAGGAATGGAGGGACTATCACTACCTACCCATCTTATTTGCCCCTTCTGTACTACTCCTTAAAGTACCGGACATTAGTCGAAATGTTCCCGTCGTTAATGTAGGAGAGCAGTCCTACGGCACAAATGGGAGGGGCTCGACCGGAGTGACACCGTGGCGTCCATGGCCTCATAGAAAACCGCTATTAAGCAATTATTTCGTTACCTTTCACCGAGGGAGTGAGGTAACCGGAGCCCAAATCCCCTCTCCTTCCGATTCTGGGAGGCGGCGGTAGTCACTCAGTTTCAGATGACCCGTCTATCTTCTCGTTTACCTCCATATACCATTAAAAAAAGTGATAGTTAATTAATTTAAATATTAAATGATCGTGCTTATCACACATTTGTCCTGGGTGGTAATCGAACACACGACATCCGGCTTAGCAGTCAGGGTCACTAACCTTTACAGCAATCATCACATCATCATCGCATCAACAGCCTATAATAGTCCACTGCTGGACATAGGCCTCACCTTAGAGAGGAGGTTCCGGCCTACCATACCACGCTGGGCAGACGGGTTGGTATAGGGTTTGTGTCAAGTTTTCCTTCTCTTTGCAGTGCCGTTGTCCCGCGCAGTTCGCCCATACTCGGCTCTTACGACACCCACGGGATGAATAGGGGTGGTGACATTGCGTATTCTTAATCCGTCACCACACGGATTACAGCAAAAGGCCACCCAAATTATTATATTATTTATTTATGGTTCTTAATTATACTTCCAGGTTCGTTCCTCGCGCCAGCTCTTTGTATCTACCTCTCTGACCCCTTCGTATGGCGGTATGGAGCACATGCCAAAATGAACCATAGGAAGGTGATGTCATGGCACGTGTTAGGTTCGGCAGCTACAGTTATCATCAGCGTATTGGCGTACTTTTCCCTCGTGTTAGCTGGACAAGACCCTCAGTGGACAGTCAGAATGGTACGTATAACCTGATATGGGTTTGTTTTATTGAGAGAGGGAGATAGAAGAAAATAATAAAAAGAAAAAATAGAAAGACAGATTCTTAATTACGAAATTTGACCTTCCTTATATTGTCTCAGGAGAACTAATAACTTGTTCCAGGCTTTCCGGCACTGTGAATCTCCAGAACAAATCCATGTCAGCACCACCCCAGTGTTTTCTCTCGTACAGTGCACTGGGAGTCTTCTAGGGTTAGCTTTATGTGTCACACCAGCCATTGCCGAGTAAGTATTCATCATTCATCTATCAGAATATAGTGTATAGACCTTTTTTTCTTCGTGGAGTAGGGGGAAAACGAGCAGACGTTTCATCTGCTGGTAAGGGTCTACCAACATCAATATATACAAATAAATCGCTACTTTTTGAGTGCCTCCCTCAGAATTAGAGGGTTGGGACTTCGTTAACCTCACACAGTAGGTAAGAGCAACGAAAATGGCCTGACAACGTTTTTGTGTGAGGCCATGGTCACCTCGGTCGAACCAGCCACAGCGTAACTTGCATTTTATACGCCCAAACCCGGCTTCTGTAAGAGCGATCCATACATCCGTTCTGTGCTAGTTTGGATATTCTGAGCTTCTCCAGGGTCCAGAAACCAAGCCCTATTTTTCGGAGCGTGGCTCTCCAATAAACAGCCACATCATTTCATTGTATCATTTCAATCGTTCCTCCCTCTATCGTGTTAATTCCCGTCAACATACTAATATATTATGCAATGCGATAATTTAAAACTTAGCACATCAATGAATAATTTATCAGCGTTTGACGATAAACAGCGTAACCCACGACTATATTTATGTTATATTAAATGATATACCAACCCGTGTGGCCACCGTTGTATAGTAGGCCAAAACCTGCTGTCTAACAAGAGGCCTATGTCCAGCAGTGGTCCACTAAAGGCTTTTGATGATGATAATGATATGATATGATTAAACATCAGTGATGATTTAACAAAAAAGTTACATTATTAACTTTTAGACTTCACGTTCCATAGTTTATAAAAAACAATAAGCCTTCCTTAATAATAAGGCGTATTTGTTATGAAATCATATTTTAGTGTACAATTAGTATTTTTCTTGAAACAAGGTTAAATTCAAAACTTTTGAAACCTGCTGTTACGAATCTTGTACAGAAAAGTAGTTTGACTGCCTCGGTAGTGCAGTGGTAGCGTATGCGACTGTTGTGCTGAGGTCTCGGGTTCGATACCGGGTTGGATCAAATGATCTGCAAATATTTGTTTCGGAGTTTGGTTGTTTTCTATGTATTATATGTATGTATTTACAAAATCTAGCTATCATAGTACAAGCTCTGCTTACTTTGAAATTAGATGGCGTTGTGATTATTGTTAATCAAACATTACTAGTCTTGCTCAACATATTGACCATTACCAAATTGAAGTCACTACTAACTTTTTTCTTTTTTTTCCAGATACCGCCATTATACAAAAAATCGATCTCTAATCATGTCCGCCATCGCAACCGCACTCACCGTCTTTACTTTTAGGTACACACTCGATAATATCTGCAAAACAAATACTTTTAGATTCTACGCTACTCATTTTGTGGCATCGGCTCTCAAACCTATGATGTTATTACGAGTGGTACCGGCTTTTGCTATGTGGCCGTTCGCAGCTCCTAAAAATAAAACAGAATAAGTGAACGATACAATCTAGGGATAAGTCTACGTTCAAGTGGGGTCATCGAATCTAAAAGTTTAAAATACTACCTATCTTACTGACAGACCCCACCGATTAAAGATTTAAATAAATACACCTGTATGACTCCTGGATCCGCCGGTGATTTGATAAATATATTAATTGTTTTCTTTATCATCATCATCATCAACAGCCTTTAATAGTCCACTGCTGGACATAGGCCTCTCCTTAGAAAGGAGGTTTTCTTTATAGTACAAAGTAACATGCAATTTAATCAAAATTTAAATTAATCTTTAATGAAAATAGGACAACATAAAATGTAAATGTAACAACACTTCATTTATTAGTACCAAGTTTGTGTAGAATGGTTGAACAAACATATATACATACTAGCTGACCCTGCAAACGTTGTTTTGCTATTTATATTATTTAAAAAAAATGATTTTGAATTTCTTAAAATCCTTTCTTAGCTGACCTCTACTCGGTGAAAAGAATATACCTACCAAATTTCAAGTCTTTATCTCTAGTGGTGCCAGAGATATCGTGATGAGTGACTATATACGTGGAAATCTCTTATATATGTATTTATATAGATTTATACGTTAAATAATTGGTATATAGTCTGGCAACATAATCACCTTCTATAAATCATTATACATACATATGTACAAGCGATATCGCGTTATTACACAAATAAATAATTGGATAACAAATAATTGGTTACAATTTCAAATTAATATTTCTATTTTTGAACAGATACTAGAAATTTACATTTTGTAATATTACAGTACCAAAATATATTACATATTAAAAAGGCTACATATATTATTATTAATAGTTTGTCTAATTTGTTACGTTATACAATCATATATCTATGTTACATTATCAATGTGTGAAGTTATAGTATAGTTATTATTTTATATATCTTTTATATATCGTTATAGTTGTTATTTTATATATCTATTTTAAAACAAACAATGAAGGTCTAAATAAAATTTTCGAAGTCTCATTTGCAGACCTTACTTCTCAAAAACAGTTTATTAGGTCTTAAAGATTTATGTTTTTATATTATAATAATATGTTGTAAGTTTTATGAGCTGTAGGTTATTTTTAGAAGCACCCAAGCACCCTATGTGTCAAAGTGAATCTTAAATCTCACATTTCACTCACAAATATTAGTAAATCTTATAATTCATCTATCACATAATTACACATTCATGCAAACAAGTGTATTAATATTAAATATGTATTATACTCGAATAATATTAATTATGTATTTTTAACCTACTTCAGAAAGGAGAAGGTTCTTTGTTCCATTGTATTTTTTTTTAATGTTTGTTCACCGATTACTCCGTCAATTCTGGAACGATTTTCAAAATTATTTTTTAAATCCTTATAATTTTATTCGCATTAAGAAAATAGTTATACATTGATTAAACCCCGCCCCTAGACCAATCAGGTTTCAAGAAATTATCGTATCATACGAAAGCTTCGAACCTGATTGGTCTGCGGGCAGGCCTATGTCACTATTTTCTTAATTCGAATGGGCTGTAGGTAATACCATAGTAGGTAGTCACACTTCTCATTTCATTACATTTTACATTTATTTATTTCATAAACAATAGCAATTGTGTTGAAATTATACATAAGGACATAAATATATATTGACAAACATTGTATTATTAGATACATACATCACTTCATATCAACAACCTTAAATAGTCCACTGCTGGACATAGGCCTCTCCTTAGAGAGGAGGTATTGGCATACTATACCACCATGGCCAGACGAGTTGGTGTAGGGTTATATACATATATAATATAGATAAATTACACTTATAGAGAGAGAGAGAATTGCACCCAGAACCAACAGGCCACTCTAAAATAGTCAAGCAAGCTATTTTGAACTTTATTGCATAGCAGTAAGTGTTATTGATTATTTAATTTTATATATGGTATATTATCCTAAAGTACAGAGTACTTAGCGTTTCTCGCCTCACCTATTGCACAAATGAAACATTCAGTGTTATTGGCTAAGAGTCCGCGTCATATAATATCTGTCGGCTTACATTTTGATATTTTTTATATTATAATTGTTATTATCAGTCTTGACGAAAGAAGGGAAATAAGAGAAAAACTTGGAAATACATTGCCTTTTAGACATTATTCAACCTTAAATTCTGTAATGCCTATTATTTTATAACTAAACATTATGTTACCGTATGCTGTGATATTTACATCCCTAATTTATTTTACATGACATGTTGAACATATTTGTTTAAATAATAACAATAAAGAATTGAGCACAATGGACAATCTATTTATTATTAAATTAAACGTATCTTACCACTCGACGCTTAAAGAAAGTAAAAGGAAATTTAAATGGTAACACATCAGACAGTTCGAGTTACCCACACGAGCTTATTGCTGATACTATAGAAGGGGAGCCCGTGATGCTAAAACGGGATTTACTCCAGCGTCATGGGGACCTATTGGATTGGAAAGATACGGTAATAGAATAAATAAAAGTTTTGTAATGTTTCCACTTTCAGCTGTGGGAAAAGCTTCTACAGATTTTCAAAAATGTAAGGGGAGGAAATCGAAGAAACAACATTCGGGCGCATCAGATATATTAGGGATATGTTATTTGAACTTCAAAAATGCTCCCATTAAAAGGACTGACGATTTTAAAGTGACCTAAGCTGGTAGCGAATTATAGAAAACGCAAACTGCAAATTTGAAAAATCGCCATTTCGAAGTACCCGACAGTGCTAGATTTTATACAGACGGTTCGGCTTGATGTTCCTGTCATGCTAGCCAAAAATCTGACGATAATTTTACAGGGCTTTCGCTGCATACTTATTTTGTATTTACAAAAAACGATTACACAACTTGGGGACAAGTTGTGTAATTGTTGTTTGCTTGTTGCGGCAGTCAGGCGACGGCCATAAAAGCCAAAATAGTTTCGCAATGTAATGAACGAGCGCATAAAAGAGGATGTCGATTCATCATCATCAGCCTATTGCACGCCACCTCGATCGATTTTCGGCTTCTCGCATAGGATGTCGATTGATCAAAGAGAATGGAAGAAGAAAAACGTAAATATAAAAAACATCGCATACAGAAATTATGGTTTAGGTTAGTATTAAAATTATATTCGGTTCATCATCATCAACAGCCTTTAACAATCTACTGCTGGACATAGGCCTCTCCTTAGAAAGGAGGTTTTGGCCTACTATACTGGCCAGACGGGTTGGTATAGGGTTTCAAGTTTTCCTTCTCTTTGCAGTGCTGTTGTTGTGCGCAGTTTGCTACCTTTGTCGTCTCTACGACACCCACGGGATGAACAGGGGTGGTGACACTCCGTATTCTTAATTCGACACCACGGCTTCGCTATGTATTAGGTTTGTAACCTTTTTTTATTATTTTAACCCGTACTAGGGGTTCGTAAAACGTGGGAGAGCTATGCTTCGTTACATGTCAGTTCGACCGGAGTGTTACCACGGCCTCACAGGATTCTGATGTCATTGAATATCATCTGATGATGATGATGGTATTCTTTCGTTGCATTTCACCTAGTGAGTGAACTTAGCCCCTCTCCCCCTCTGTGTGAACCCATCTTCTAATTTGCCTAATTACATAAAAAACAACTTTTAATAACAGGTTCAACTCAGTGAAAATCAGATTAAGATGAAGTATCTTAATTATGTTTAAAACATGTCTCCGATGCCAGATGTGTGCAGAACAGACGGTGAGGAAACTTCCTTCCCCCCTAACCCCCTCAACTGCTAGATAAACCACAACAAAACTATCTTTACTTACACTTAACCTACCGACAATGAAATTAATGATAGCGACAGATTAACTCAACCAACGCATTGCGTGACAGTAACATTGACATAGATGCACGTAAAACGGTATTTCTTCTATTTATATCAACAAGGCATAATGTAGTAAGCTTTTGTTCCTGATATAGTTTGCATTACTGTATATTTTGTCAAGCCAGAACACCGTCTTATTTTTCTAGCTCTCGGAGACAGACTTTTTCTGAATGAACAACTCTATCTACAAATCTATACACGTGCCAACATAATTGCAAACCTTCATAAGCGGTTGACTATATAACTAAGACCTGAAACTAAACAAAACAACTTAAATACACAATAATAATAATAGGATACTGAATGAAATCGCAACGCAAGAACCAGTGGAAAACGAGGTCATCAAATTCTTGATCCTCAAAATGCAAATAGGTGTAGGATGAAGGCATATAGTTACAGATCAACCTCATGTGATCATGACCCAGAACTAAAACTTTAAAATTCAATATTACAGTGTATTTTTAAAAACAATAAGCATATTTACGAAAATACATTACGGCAAGGTTTTCTTATTATCACAGTTAAAATAGTCCATAATAAAATCATCAGTGTAGTCTATCAATGGATTTAGACAATTAAATTCTGTTGCAGGACCATCTCCCACACACTTTTTATCTGAGCATTGCAAAGCTAGCGAATTGGAGTTTGAACAAACAAACTTCAATCGTATGCAATCTTTTTTCTTTGTTTTCGATTTTTTACTCTTTTTTCGGCTGTCCTGTTTATCACATTTGGACCCATTTTCTGAACTTTTCCCAGAAGTACTAGATTTTATTCTCCACCTCAATGATTTGTTTAAACCACTCGCTTCATTACCGGGCTTTTTCAATTTTTTCTTACTTCTGCAATTGAATAACCGACACTTCGCCTTCTTGCTTTGTAATTTATTTTCTGAAGTTTGGAAACTCAATTGTTGTTTTTTCACAGGAATCTCTAAAATTGGATTATCTATTTTCGGTTTTATTTCGGAACTCTCAAATGTTTTTCTATCTTTTAAAATCGAACGACGTTTTAGTGACTTTGTTTTATTCTCAAAATCTTTACTTCTTTTATCTTTTAAACTGGATTGTGATTTGGATATTTGAGTTTTTGATATTAGTGTCTGAATCGAATTTTCGTTTATGTTTTTGTTCTTTAAACTAGTCCGTGATTTCGGTAGCATTTCGAACCGAAGTTCTCTTGCACGTGTCTGTGGCAGTTCTTGCCTGAAGCGGTATACATCAGCTTTCTTTTGAAAAATTTCTGAAGGTATAATATGGTCTATAGGTATACAGCAGACAACGCGAACACAAATCCGGAGTCTGTTGAATAAATTCTTCACAGCGTTGTCCATTCCCGACAATACAGTGAAATTACAGTCATGTTTGGTAATAATATTCTGGATCGCTTCCATATTTTATACTTAAAATTTGGCATTTTTTGCCCGATTTAGCTAGTTGTGGCATATTTGTCATTACTGACAACTTGCTGTGACTACCACAGAGTCTAGAAAAATAAACGACCTCTTAAAATCAAAGCGTGTCGACATCTGGCAAGACGTCTGTGGACCTACATACCTATATTTTCTAAATTAATTCTGTAGGTGTTGGGCAAAATTGGCATTGAGAATTGGAATGTATGTGTGTTGTTCTGTTGGTAAGGTTGCACGCCTGTAACTGGAACTAGTTTTTGACCGAAAGTGGAACCCTACCATTACAGAATTTGATAGAATATTATTTAGAAAAAAAACGAAAGAGGCATACAGTAGTCGCGTACGATGTGTAACATCTGACATCTAACCTAGCGTCTGACGGCCCATCCCATTGTTCAAATCAATTTCACGAAATCACTAGCACAGATTTCACGAAAGCGAGTGGAAGAATGTTACACGTCATAAAGTTTCTGTTTGTAATATGTAATTGTGATTTATCCAAATTGAATTATGCACGAATTTAAGGTATAACGAGACTTTCATTTAATAGTAATTATAGGTAAAGATAAGAGATTCCTATAGCCTGCTGACTATCACCGGCCATACGAGACTAATAAATAGGATGTACCTATATAAAAAAACTTTTTAAAAAAAGTTGACCCGACTTCAAACAATTCTAACAAAAAGCACTTAAAACCTAAGCAATTGAGCTTGATTTGCTGTTATTTTTAGAAGAGTGCCGTTGTCTGTCTTCAAAATTCATCATCAGATCTATATGAAATGTTGATAGGACCATTTCGGAATAAATACCTTTCGAACAAAACAAAATTTTAGAATCCGTCTATATATGACGGAGTTATAACCGAACATACCTACATAAAAAATATATAAACATCCGAATTGATAACCTCCTCCTTTTTGAAGTTGGGTAAAAAATATAGAACTACTCTGTTCTTGTTCAAATATTTACAAGTCATTTTCATCAGCGGATCAGGTTGCATAAATGTGTTTTCATCTATCTTTGGTAATGATGGATTCAGTAGTTGAGACGAGAAAGAGAAGCAAACAAGAGAACTAGCTCACTCTCGCGTTTATAATATTTGATTTGATTACATACTCTGTCAAGTGCATGATAATAATGCTGTTGATATGTCACCTTTACGTCATTATTATCGGCATGGTTTTTACTTTTGGCGTTCCGTAAGATAATGTCGGAACGAACTTGCCGAAATGGTTTAAGAATTACTCGTAAGTACAATAATTAGTAAGTCAATGTTAAAAGCTGATATCTTTAATTATTTCAATACAATTAATTCATCAAAATTCCTGTATGAGTTACCTACTGTAACTACATATATCTCATAACAAAAAAGTTTTACGTAATGCAATGAAGTTTATTTTGCGGTTATTTCTTGAATACATAAACTCGTAATAATATACTTAAGTTTGTATGCCCGATGGTCTTGAGGAAAACCCGTTGCTGCTATGGGATTAATGTGGACTGCAAAAGACTGGAATAGCTCACCTTGGGGAAGGCTTCGTTCAGCAGTGGACGGCGATAGGCTGATGATTTGACTGCCTGAGGGGTAAGACTGAAGCGTATTAAACACTAACATTTTACTGACTATAATTTAATCCTACATAAGTAATTTGAAAATTAAATATGTTAAAATTGGTGGCGTATTGGGACAGATAGGCAAAAACTAAAGCAAAGCAAAGAATGACAAATGGTAGGTATTTCTTATGAATTGAGCATTGATTGGAAAGTGTAAAGATAAGCTCAAGAAATCCAAGGTATACAGATACTTCGAACCAGTCAAAACCCCAAACATTCGCACTTGGCCGTTTTTTTTTTAATAAAAGCTCTGTTGAAGTTATCTTTGTCAACAAAAGATAAACGCTTTTATTAAACTATACACCATTCAATTATTAGCCATTTTGATAGATTGGTTTTATTTGGATACCACAACGGTTATGATAAACGTGTCAGTAAGAATAAAAAAAAATGGTTGCCACAGACAATTGTTTTTTACCATCTGACTTGTTGCAATATGTAAGTTTAATTTAAAACTAAACAATTACCTCTTTTGACTAAAACAAATCATAATTCCATACTTATATTATAAACAAATGTGAAAGTGAGTTTGTTTGTTTGTTACGGTTTTACACCTTTTTTTTTTCCGTGCGGAAATCCCCTCAGATACCACCTGTCGGTGGCATGTCGGACTCGAACCGACTAAAACCGCACGCCGTCTCGGGTACTAATAGCCGGGGAACCAGGTATAGCCTAGAAGGAAGTCCCTGGTGCCCCGACATACCTCGGGTCATCTACAGACGAGTAGACGACCCCCCCCCCCCGTGTGGGAACCCCATGTTCCCTGTGCTCCCTGGAAGCGAGCGCGCTTCGTAACGCGCTCGCCGCCACCCCGGCCTGCTTCTGCTAGGGTGACAGATGGCCTCACCTGTCACCCCCAGGCCTGCGCTTATTTAGGACGGAGGTCGTTCTGCGACCTCCGGCGCCTGAGTCGCCTGCGGTACCTGGCCCGTTCCCGGGCCTGGCGGGCCGGGAGAGTCCTAAACCTCTCCCGGTCCCGCGCCGCCGTCTCCTTCGCGAGCATAACTTGCTCGCAGAAGGAGACGGCAGAGTTCCACGCACTTTCGCTCCGCACGATAGCCGCAATCAGGCTATCGAGCGAGAGAACTCCCACTCCGATGGCCTCCACGAGGTCTCGCCTCTGCTCAACCCACGCCGGGCACTCTGCCAGCGTGTGGAGAGCCGTGTCCACGGTCTGGCCATCGCAGTGGCACCCAGGCGTTGGCTCCTTGCGGATCAGACACAGGTGATCCCCGAAACATCCTTTCCCAGTGATCACCTGCGTCAGTCGGTATGAGAGGGTCCCGTGACGCCTCTCGAGGCAATCCTCCATAACGGGTCTTACCGCCGCGATGACGGCGTGCCCGACGGTTTTACACCTAAACCAAATATAAAATAGTTCCACCAATGGCTCTTCATTGGTAAAAGTATTTTATATTTGTTTGAGGTGTTTTAGGTTTAAATTTTCACTAATAAAGAGCTACATTGTCTGTTAGTAACAAAGGCTACTTTTTACCCGCGATAACCGACATACACGCGGGCGTTTGTTTGTTTGTTACTCTTTCATGCCTTAGCCGTCTGCCCCCTCTAACATTAAAAACTTTTTTTTTTCACCAATAAAAAGCTCCATTATCAGCGAGTAACACGCCAGCGGAGCCGCGCGCAAAAACTAGTAATTAAATTAACCGGTCAAGTGAGTGTCAGACCACAAGCCGTCTAAGGTTCCGTGGTTTATAAATAGACGTATTAAACAAGTAACAAATTTACCTAAGTTTTTTAGAGATATTAACTGCACTGCACTGCACGGATGGCGTAGTGGTTTAAGCGGTCGCCACGCCGCTCACTACTAAGTGTTGTGGGTCCGATCCCCACATGGGACGACAGTTTATATGATCCATAAATTGTTGTTCTGAGTCTGGTTGTTTTTTGTGTCCGTTTCATGTATGTTTGTAAAGTCCCCGTGACACAGGATATATTCCTAGTGCGGAAGTTGTCTTTCATTTTATAGAAAACAAAAGAATTAACTTTCCTCTAGCTTTGATGACTGCGCCTGTAGAGTTGGCCGTCAGATGAGACACATCATGAAGTACACGACTAGGTGCTGTGAGGCTCGTTCATTTTCTTTCTTAGCAAAAAATATAAAACTATTTCGATCGAAATTTTCCCTGAGTTTTACTCATAAAATGTATTTTATAAGTTGGGCGACTATTACTCTTAAACTAACAAAGCTTACTGAGGCGTGATAATTTGGAATGTATCTGTTAGTAAAAACGACACTTTCTGTTTTCAGGCCGAAATGTTACTGAAAGAGTCCCTCGGTGAGACTAACAACTACAGTTGGTTGAAAGCCAGGCACATTCAACCAGAAATAATAGAATCTATAAAGGACTTACAAAAGTTAAAGCCGATGGTATTCCAGGTTAGTTTTTTATTTTATCTTTTTCTTATGTTTACGGGGTGGAAGATTATGAAAATCACCCCTGTGATCAGCTACTTGCTAGAGGCAAGCCGTGGGTCGAGATTCTCCAGTGCATAAAGCTACTCCGTGTGATGACAGATTAAGAATACGGAGTGACCCCTATTCATAGCGTGGATGTCGTAAGAGCCGACTAAGGGAGCAATTTTCGCTGGACTGTTACTGCAAAGAGAATGAAAACTTGACACAAACCTTATGCAAAACGACTGGGCAGTGTAGTATTCCGCTCTCTCCTGTTATGCCGTCTCCTTTGCGAACATCACCTTCTATAAGTAGAAGGCCATGGCATTCCATGTCCCAAGAATAAGTCAAATAAACTAACTCCTATAAATGAAACTACATAAGTTGATTAAATTAGCATGCGTGCGTGGTTTAACTTAATAAACTTAATTTAAAAAACTGTAAAATAGCCTAAATCAAGATAATGTGTAATAACCTGTTGTAAAAAAAAATCAAACAATGGGAGTTACTTTGAGCATAACCAATTCAATTAGAAATGAAGAATGATTGAAGAATACCTCTATAGATTTATTACTAATAAGTTTTTAATTAAGGTTTTTTTAATAGTTCACTACTTTTTTAATAGATGACCTCAGAAAACTGCGCCAAAATCGCTGTCAAACTTGACAACTTGACAGACGGTGTATATTCAGCTGCCGCCATTTTATCAACCTTTAAGAAACTGGTGCATGAGCAATACAGCATCCAATTATTGGAATCTAGCGTGAAGAGTGCGAAAGAGAGGAAGAATAAAAAGAATAACAGGGTTCAACCTATACTGACACCTGATGGGAGGCTCCCGACAGTTTCCTTTATATTGCATTGACATCATGAAATATTAAAGAAATTTAAAAAGATATTGTTGTTTTACTATTTGACCTTATTTTTAAGCTCACAAAGGCAATAAAGACTAAGGTTCTGAACGGATGGTACATTATTAAACACGTCCACATGTCGCCACAAACAATGACTTACTTGTCATATCAGTTATTAGGTCTGACCCTGTGAATAACAGTCTCGGAAACATATCACAAAAAAGTCTCTCTAAGTATCGCTAGAAATGTAAGTAGTGCCAATATTAGTTTTTTTTAAATTTATTTTTTTATCTGATACAACATAAACTCCTTCAAGTTTTAGCGTACATGAATGTCGTTATATGTTTTACATTGTACCAAAGAATCACACTAACTACACTATACAGGTTGCTCCAGGACATTAAAAGCAGGTGATTTAATTTTGAAGAACGTGTTGTTTAAATTTTTTTTTTTTACTTTTGTTAATGAAGCCTTTTTCGGAGCTCATTTATTAAGAATGGTACTATATATTTTAGAGTTCTATTCCCGTATAGATTTGTGCATCGTGGTAGTAATAGTTTGGTGTTATTGTTAGTTCCAAGTTATTGTCCAGAAGATTCTAAGATAAGTCATTATCATTACCTTTTGTATGTATTTTCCCAGAATAATCAAGATAAATGGAGTAGATGACTGTTAAATCAAGTTAGTAGCTTTTTATTAAATGTCAAAAAGATAGAAGTGGTACATTACATTTTTGCTTACAATACTATGACGTGACGTCACACCTAGCTAGTGTCAAATCATTCATATTTAATGTTGATTTGAATAAAAACATTAAATTGATAATGGGGGACAATTCAGGCTGTACTTTAAAATGTTACATTAATTGTTTCAGATGGTATAATTTATTTGGCGAATACTTTCAAATTACGATAAGTTAATAATATTCTACCACATTCGATAAAAATACATATATAATGTACCACTTCTATTTTTTTTTTGTAAATACATACTTATTATACATAGAAACACCCAGACCAAATGAAACCTTAAATGTTCATGCACACAAATGTTTGACTTGAGTTAGTATTTATTATTTTTAGACGCATTTTTAAGAAACCATTTTAGTTTCTATTTAATTATGAAATTAAATTTGTATGAAATATAAAATGTATTTTATGAAAGATTTTAGAAGCTAAAGGAGAAAAGAAAGGAAAAAATAAGAATTTCATTTATATTCCCGAATTTAATCGGGTATCTCCGAGATAAGATACTTGCGTTAAACTGAAAATTCTTAAAGTCTACACTCAAGTTATTGTATAGTCTGTACTCAACTTATTGTCTTCGTCAATTGAAAAAAAAACTTGTTAAAATATTAAATAAAATGAGAGTTCCGAAATTCGTTAAAATATTTTTAAAATACGACAATAAGAGCACATATACAAAAATAATACGCATACAGACAAACGACAGTCATATTGACCAAAGCCTCAACGGCTTCTCGGCCAAATATTTAATATTGACAAAAATAACAGAAAATGAAGTCGTAAAAAATTTAACACATCTTTACATCGTTAAGGCGAAGTAGGTTCCAAAAAGGTGTGCTAAAAGAATTCGTATAAAAGGTCAACTAGGTATATCTCTTAAAAAGGGTTTGTTTCATCAACCGACCACCCGTTACTGCATTTTCAACATAAATATATCTCAATCATCTGTCGCTCTGTGATCGTAATAACAATATAAAAAGTTAATGTATCAGGAAGTGTCGAGGTACGCCACCGACCAGATTTTTGCGTCAATTGATACGTGACATTTTGAGCGAAGCCCTTAGTCAGAAGTGAACCAAGACACGATAGTCTTCACCTTTTAGATATGGAGCTAGACGTTTCGTAGCTAACGTAACGTAACGTGACGTAACGTAACGTACGTTAAAATACCAATATTAACGTTATTCTAATATATATTATTGTTCACTAAAAGTAAAGTAAATGTGTGTATTAACATAATTAAATAATTTTTAACTTAATACCAAATGGTAAACACCAAAATGATAGCTTTCTGCACTTCTGCATTTAAACATTGTTGACATGTTTCTTTGCGCCGTTTGTTGTAATTTGAAAAAGTGAAGGATTCTTTGATATTTAATGACACAATAACATTATATAACCGGTAAGTATTTCATTAGAATAATATAAATTAAATAATTAAATTATTAATTTAAGCCCTAACTTAATAGAGCTACCGGATAGTCAGATAGTAGTAATGTTTGTAAAAATCAAACGAATACAATTGGCATTCATATTATTTTTAAAACTTCACGAAACACTTATCCTTTTGTAAAGCGTTTGCATTAAAAATCCCAAATATGGAAGCATGTCTTGTCTCTTTTGGCCAGCGAACGTAATTTTTACAAACGCCTCTGACTCTACATGACTAAAGCGAGTATGTATCTTTAATAGCAAAAAAAAAATCACAAAACGCTAAGAAACAGAGCACTCTTTAAAACAGATTCATGCAATTAGTGTCATACATTGTGTTAATTAAATTCCTTTGGCATCGGAGGTTATAAACGGAGGCTAGTTACAATTCTGAAGGTAATAAGAGTTATATGTCTATGGATATGGATACATAGTCTATGTAGTATATGGATAGTCCATGGATTAAACTAGCTTCAGTCCTCGGTTTTGCTCGCCTTTATGAAGACCATTTCGAGCACTTACCTTACCTACTAGTTACCTAAAAAACAATAATGTTATATTATACCTATATCGTTTAAGTGTTAAATAAATAAAATAAAGTTTACATATTATATTATAAAAGGTCCCTTTTTATACGACGATATCTACCCCGACATCATTTATATACTTCATGATGATTGATTATGACATGAAAGCTAAAGAAATAAACAAATTGACATTCGCATTTAGAATAAAATTTATTTATTTATTTTTTATTTATTTATTTATTCTTCATTGTACCATCTCCACATTTCTAAGCTCCTAAAACAGTCATTTTAACTTATTTAGAGCTTACCGAGAATACTTAATTACATGTGCTTAAATTATGACGTTATTAGAAATTTATGCTAATAATTACTTAATCATCAAGCATTTCTTGCCTGCATCCTACATAAACTGAGGCCTGCCCAAATATTGATACAATGCAAGGCCGTGTATTGACTGATGACAGATGTGCAATCAGGCCAAAATGGCGGTACGTCATTGTGACAGCGCAGACTTCCCGCGTATAATAACAACATACATTATTTATAAGGGCACATTATAATATAATATAATAATGTAATATTGTACCACATTCACACAACGCCATCTAGTCCCAAACTAAGAAGAGCTTGTACTATGGGTACTAGACAACTGATGTAAATACATATATACTTTTTTTTTTGTAAATACATACTTATTATACATATAAACACCCAGACCAAATCAAACATTAAATGTTCATGCACACAAATGTTTGACTTGAGCGGGAATCGAACCCGCCACCTTTGGAATAGCAGTCCGTTACACAAAACACTAGGCCATTCGGTCGTCAATTAGGATCCAATGCTAAATAGTATAGTTTTTATTGTAATTTATTGTAGTATGTGTAGATGAATTGGCTTTTCTTGTGCTCTAGGAAAGGTGACTTAAAAGCATATTTAAATAAAGGGCCTACTTATTACAGAAGGCCAGACAACATAATATTATTATTCTGATGATGGATAGGAAAAGTACAGTAAAAAAATAAACCACCACACATCTGGTTTCATTAAAGAATATCGATCCTTTTTGGTCATCTCCGCATCTTAAATCGATTTTCGGTTACCTACATGCAATAAAGCGATTATTTTTTTATTACCGATTAATGGGTTCTCACTGTGGAACTGCATTATTTATGATGTTTTAAATCGAAATGAAAACATTATTTCGAATGATAAATATTAACTACTATAAAGCGACTGAAACGAGTCGCCTTTTAAGTTTCTGTAATATTATACTCGAAAGACTTATAAACATTATTTTAGATTATACTTATAAACATTTTTAGAAGTAATTTTTATTTTTGATACACAATAACTCTAAGTAACTCTAAAGTTTTCCCGAATATCTTGCAGGAACATTAAGGTCTTGAGTATTTGGAAATTACCTGTTTGTGTTAGTCATTAACTACGAAATGGAAGTTTTTTTTCTGAGCCCACTTTTTTAACCATAATTGTGCTTATTTGTCAAAGTTTGTCTCTAACTAGCAGAAAGTTTAACGATTAAATCATGTTTCTTTTTTGGATAGCCATTGTTTAATAACCTTTATTTTTATTTTCTTTTTTTTTCCGTGCGGCACTCCCCTCGGATACCAATAGCCGGGGAACCAGGTATACCCTAGAAAGGAAGTCCCTGGTGCCCCGACATACCTCGGGCCATCTACAGACGAGTAGACGAACCCCCCCCCCCCCCGTGTGACATGACATGACAGCGTGCCCGGCGCTCGGTTGCCTGAGTCGTTCACTCCACTCCCCTATGATGACCTGGCGGAGTTGGCATTTCCGGTCATCGATTTCTCGAACCTCGGGACATTGACTCCTTGCGCCACTGATACAGAGCCGCAAGGGCTCTCGCCTCCAGGTCCCACGGTTGAGTTCCGGCCAGGAGACTCGCCGCCTCAAAGGAAATCGTGCGGTACCCCTTATGATCCTGATTGTTTACAAGTACCTGGTTGTTTAATGTCAACCTTGGCAGATAGAATCGCTTCGTCGTTATTTTACGCTTACTCGTTTGAGTTGACAGTATCGACTACATAATTATTAGCATCTCTGTCAGTTTTAAAGTTTCGACAGAGTAGTAAGCATTTTAGGAAATAAGCAGAAATTAAAACGATCAATCTAAGTGGCGTGCAATGGGGGAGGCCCTTGTCCAGCAGTGGACTACGATAGGCCGATGATGATGATGAGATAAGACCCAATTAAATCTTAGAAAGAAAAAAAGTTAGGTAGGAAAGGAATATTGAGATCGGATTGATTTCGCTAATGTTATTTATTTCAGTACCTATTTAACATACCTTTCCAATTATACTAACAAATAACCAACAATATGTAGGGAACTTGACCTTTATTTAAAACAGAATTTTAAGTTAAGAATAAAAGGTAGAAAGTACACATTTCGTAATCATAGAGAAAACAAAAATACTTTCTATTTATTCCCATCTCACAATTCTCTAATATTAAATAGGTTAACCGCTTCAATATCAAAGATGTTTTGAAATAGAAAATTATTTCTTTTTCCATTTTCAGGTTATTATTTTGTCCGCTTGTCTGAGAATAATAACTAAGAAACGTGGGATTGTTATGTCTTTTATTTAAGTTTACTATTATACGTTTTTACGGTTTACGTAACCGTGTGATGACGGATTAAGAATACAGTGTGTTACCGCCTTTATTCATCAGGTGGGTATCCTAAGAGCTTAGTAAGAGAGCAATCTACGCAGGACAACACCACAGCAAATAGAAGGAAAACTTGACACAAAACCTATACCAGCTCGTCTGGCTAACGTGGTATCACGTCATCATCAAGGTATCGTCGGCCAAAACCTCTTTTCTCAGGAGACGCCAAAGTCCAGAAGTGAACTATTAGATGCTGTTGATGATGATACGCTTTATGAATTTATTATTTGTATTTTTTTTTAATGTTAGAGGGGGCAGACGAGCAGAAGGATCACCTGATGGAAAGTGACTATCGCCGCCCATGAACGTCTGCAACTCAGGAGTCACAAACGCGTTGCCGGCCTTTTAGGAAGAAGTACGCTCTTTTCTTAAAGGTTTGAAGGTCGTATCGGTCCGGAAATACCGCAGGCGATAACCCGTTCCACAGATTGGTTGTGCGGGGCAAAAAGTGTCTCGAAAAGCGCACAGTACTGGAGCGCCAACTATCCAGGTAATGAGGATGAAAATTTTGCCGTGTGGAACGATGGCGGAAATTTGCGGCTGGTATTAGTCCGAACAATTCCTCGGAGCACTCTTCATGATATATGCGATAAAGAATGCAGAGTGAAGCTACATCTCTACGTAACGCCAAAAGTCGAGCCGATCGGAGATGTTTGGGCTATCGACGGTTCGAGTCGCTCTTCGTTGGATGCGGTCCAGAGGAAGAAGGCGGTGGGCCGGAGTGAAACACTGCCTCGCTCTGTTCAGTACATCGAGCTTCTTTACTTTCGTTCAATTTATTATACGTTTTTATGGTAAAGGGAGCAAATAAGCATGTGCCACTTGATGCAGCACTTGAGCACCTAACTACTGCTGTACCTCAAAGCCACAACTGCGTCGCCGACCTTTTAGTGTTAGGGAGATGGTAGTGTTAAGGAAATTCAAAAAGGCTAGAACCTCACTTACTTGGTGAAATATAAGGAAAGAATTCTTGAAAACCAGTTTTCTATGAGCTCTTCGTATTTTTCCCGGTTAAGCCAGCTCTGAAGTGCCGAAGCATGACTCTCCAAATATAGTTAGGAAAAAAAGAAATGTATAAAAAAAAATCTTGTTTATTTACAAAATTTTACAGATTTTTATAAAAGAAAATATCGGCTTCGTTTCAATACATACAATTTAAATGCCTAATATTTACAAATGACATGACAGTATTTGAAAACAAATAGTAATAAACACCGGGACGGGCTTTAGTATGGAAATGTCCATTAATATCTATACTAATATTATAAAGCTGAAGAGTTTGTTTGTTTGTTTGTTTGTTTGTTTGTTTGAACGCGCTAATCTCAGGAACTACTGGTCCGATTTGAAAAATTCTTTCAGTGTTAGATAGCCCATTTATCGAGGAAGGCTATAGGCTATATATCATCACGCTAAGACCAAAAGGAGCGGAGCACCAATGAAGAATGTTTCAAAAACGGAGAAAATTTATTACTATTGAGAGACGCAGACGAAGTTGCGCGGGTCAGCTAGTTTATAAATATAGCTCAAGTGGTTGACATAGGTCTATGGAGCATTATTTACATTGACCAGGACTTGTCAGTTTTTTGTCATTATTGGGAATGATGTTTTAAATATAGAATCAGTAATAGCTGCTTGTCACATGTACTTTCGTTACTTTAAATATTAAAAGACATTTTCCTCAGTTTGTTTTTCCAAAAATACCTAATTTTTTTAAACAAAATATTTTCGGAAAAAAATATGAGCAAACATCTTCAATCTTTAAATGTGTGTGTATATTTCATTCACGACAATTACGATGTGTTCGTAAATGCTGTACCATGTGAAGAGCCTAACATTTGCGGGCCCAACACACACATACAAAGGTTAGAGGATGCTTGAACTATGGAATGCAGTTATTTCGTTAAATTGTCGGTGTCCGTTGTGATGATGCACTGATGATGGTGATTAAAAGCAGTAGGGATAGTTAGGGCACATTGCTGGTGATACGTCAGCGGGGTACCTGTGGGCTACCGGCGCAGCTGGTGCGGCACTGTGGAAGAATTGGAGTATTTTTTTAGATAAAAGAAGTAGATTGACGAGAATTATAACATTTGATGTAGCAGCGGCGGGCCATGTATGCACAATCAAGCTGATGTATTCTATTTTAAATGTATCACCTTACTAACAACTTAAGTTTACTAATGTTAAATATACTAATTTAAATGAGAACCCTGGTTACTTGATTAAAAAAATTAATTATTATTATTAATATAATAGAGCCCTATTATATTAATAATAACAATTAATTTATTATTTTTTTTCTGGCATAGAGAGGCAAACGAGCAGACTGGTCGCCTGATAGTAAATTACTACTTCAGTCCATAGACATTTGTAACTCCAAAGTCAAATGTGCATGTGGGATCTTTTGTTTATAGCACGCTGTTTTCTTACAAGTTGAAAGGTAGATTAATTGAACTTACGCAGCGGCATAAGCAGCAGCAGGGTATTGCCATTGAGGGATGGGCTGGCCACCAGGGGTGTGACGAGCCAAGGCGTCAGCATCGCAGTATGGATAGTTAGGGCAAACGGCGGGGTGAAGGCCAGCTGGGTAGCGGTCGTGAGCAAGAGCCACTGCGGCCAGAGCAAAGATCACCAACTGTGGACAAAATACGTCAAATATAACAACCATTTTATATTTTAACCTACATTGTTGCCAGATACAAAAAATAAAGTCGGACGATAGTATGATGCTTAAATAGGGTACCAGCTTTCAAAATTGTTAAGGTTTTGTTTATAGCTAACACCTTTATTGTACATTTTGTTTCCATTAAATGAAAAAAAGGTAATTGCGAACCCACCCTTTGCGAAATTTCGTTACTTAAAAACACATACCTTTTTAAAACTAGATGCCCTGCGTAACGTAATATGGTGACTATTTTAAATAAGTGCTTAATAATTTAGAACTCAAAATTTATCAACTCACTCCGTACCTTCGTCTGTGTCTATGAAAGGAAATAAACTTTCCTTGATACTCGACTCCTAGCCTTTAGCCTTCCTCGATAAATGGGCCATACAACACTAATATAATTTTCGAATTCGAACCAGTAGTTCCTGAGATTAGCGCATTCAACCAAACAAACAAACTTTTCAGCTTTTAAATACAACGTAAATCCCTTTTCACAAGGTATGACCATTTTGTCTGGTCCTTCAATCCTTCAGATTCATCCTATTTTTTGGGGGAACATAGACGTTTCAAATACAGTCCAAAATAATTAAAAGTTTTGAGCAATCAATATACAGCCGAACAATGGACCATTTGTTCTATTTTCTTACATTAACATAGCATCATATGAAACCGGGCGTGACTGCAATAGTGTAGTAGTATTGCACTATGTGTAGCACGCAACCCGATACAGATAATCGATTTAACCTGTAATAACTGCGTGTCATGAATAACGCCTAGTACTCGAGAAAGTTCGTCAGATACCTCTTTATGATTTGATTCCGACTACATTCACGGCGTTTTTCTCTTTACCACATTTGGACACTTCTAATGTGAGTACCGTAGATTTCTGTTTGAAATGGTGCGACGATTTTTTTTTTAAATATTAATGTCTTGTTTGTTGGCCAATATAGATGAGGATGCAACCCAGAATCTCATTTAAGTCCTCTGAGTAATGTCCTGGATGTGACCCAGGACATTACTCAACCAGTTTTCAAATAATCTCAAGTAGTTTCATTTTAGTAGCCCATCGACGGCCACGTTCTTGAACTTTACGCTTCTACGTCCTTCTTCTACATTCCTAACAAAACCAAAACAACTTGTCCCAGCCAGAAATCAAACCTTGAACCTCACCAAAATACTTTAAAAAATACATGCCATAGAACCAACAAGGAAATCCTTTCAATCAACATAATGTACGAGTATTCGTAAAAACATTATTTTTTAATTTAATTAAGGTTTGATTTATAAAGCATATTAAGTAAGTATATTAAGTAAGTACTCCCATATTAGATAAAATTAAATTAAAATCTAATAATGTTGTACATTGCATGTAATATAATGTAAATTATGATTGATTAATGAATAAATACATATTTAAACCATGACAAATTGTTACTAATCAAATGACAGCTGATTATGTTTCGACTGTGCCATATTACTTCCCGCCCACAATTTAAATAATTATTAGTTAACAGTCAAGTCAAATTGACATCTCTTTGTTAAACGTCATTTTTTGGTGTTGTCAAATATTTTTCATTTCATCAAACTGTTATAAACAAAAATGAAAATAAATATGCAATAATAAAAATTTAAAAATATTCAAGTGATCGATCATCGCTGTTTTGATATTTTATTAACGAGTCTCCAACCAGATGATAACTTTAACGTCGCTTATGGACACTTGCAAGTTGCAACCCCACAGATACAAGAGCATTGCCATCCTTTGTGTCACCTGCCCGGAATGGGGAGGGGGCAGGGGGTTAGTCCTCTTATAATAATAATAAGTTTAGTCTGTCGAGAGGCAGAGGAAACAAGCCCAGAGTTGTTAGTATACATATTTCAATTAAAAAAACTATTGTTAGTAAGATACACAATATAATTTAATTACAGTATTTTCAACTGTGTGGAGCTCCATCCACCTTTTAAATAGGGGGAATTCCACCAGTTTGATTTATTCGGTGCAATGGCTTATTTATTCGGTGTAATGCTACGAAATGATAGCTTAACACCGGTCTTCTGTGAGACCATGGTATGACTCCGGTCGAGCCTACCCGTAGGTATTTGATGAAGCTTGGCTCTGCCGCGGGAAAACTTTACGATTTATAGTTACATAGTAAACTTAGTCAAAAAAGATATTATTTTTCGGAATGAAGTTTATTTTCGCGTGTTACACGCTCTGAGCGGATGGGAGCGAGACCGAAAATGTGTTACAAGACTTTTTTTGCGACACTTCTTGCTAAAGTGTTATTTTTTTTAAACATTTTACTACCATACGTCATCTCGACTTGTTTCGACCCTTTATGACGCGTTGATGTCTTATACAGGTAACAAAATAATATTTTGATAAATCGAAAGATTTTTAAATTGTTTAAAATGAGAGTGTTATAAGAGTATGATAGTTGAAGAGTGGACTAGAAAAGGTGGTTGGACTGCTTAAAAGAAGATATGGGTAGAGAGGGAGTAAGCAGTAAACTGACGAGTGATAAAAGAGAATGGAAGAAGAAAACTACTTGCGCCGATCCCAAGTAAATTTGGGAAAATTAGACTTTTAAGTTACATATATTTTATTAAATAAAGTGATTATAAAGGGACAATTTCTTTTGACTTTATCCTTGGAATAACCCCTACATTTTTTTTTAAATATTTTTTCTTATATCGAACAACGTAAAAATAATTTTCTAAAGGTATAAAAAAATATAACTTACCAATTTAGCGAACATTTTGTTTGTATGTATGTGTATCCTCTCGACGTAAAGTGAGACTGATATCGAATATGGATCGCGTGTTGCTTATATACAGTGCGCCCGCGCCGATTTTATGCGCGTCATTGGAATAACGCAGTGTTTAACTGTGCGTACAATAGGTGTGACTTTTTTTTATAGAAGTACAGTTTCATACAAGCAGTACAGCTTGCCTGATAGTAAGCGGTTACCAGTATCTAAAAATATAAATATCTGTTTTATAAACAACAAAGGGATAAAGGTTCCTTGCTATCTAATACCAACCATGTAACTTTCCTTGGAGTTCTACTAAACTTACATACATGAAATATGTACACTATAGTGCTAGAAGTGCTGGTTACTCTTGGCCTTCGGTAGGCCGGTGAACTGTTCCTGTCGGTCGACTGCAATTCGACCAAAATTTGACATAAATTTCCTGGTATTTTTATGGGTTTTGGTTCCTTTACACCAAATAGTATGAATGGATGTAAGTATGTAACTGTCTAGTGTGATTTTGTATGTATTTAGGAATGTAATGTATGTATTTAGAAATATATGAGTATTTTTATCAGCAGTCTGGTTACCATGGTACACGCTGTGCCTAGTTTGGCATCAGGCAGTCGTGTGTGAGATGTGTGAGGCTATTATTATTGTATACTAATGTTCTGAAGTTTTGCTTTTTGTCTTAATTTGACTGCACTGTACCTACATAATATCTTTTATCACCACTACATATCATATTTTAATGGCTCAGTAGTTGTGTTGGCGAAACTGATTTTCTTAGTATTTCTAAAAAAAGTCTAATCAAAAGAATTGAATCTTATTTTCAGGATTATTTTCAAGTTTTTTTGGTATCTCATTACCCATAAAATTGTTGTTTTGAATTTGTGTAATTTTTTTTTCTTGGTAAAGTACAAATAGATAGATAGAATAATAAATGAGGAAATTAATGGGTTCTGGGCAACTATTTGATTCAGGCGTTCTTTATTTTGAATATTAGCTAATACAGAAGATACTATTAGATCTTAATTCGTCTTTATTAAGTATTTTTTCTATAGTAAAATAATTACTCAGGTCATAAATCATATGGTCATAAAAAGCGTTACTATGTTGTGCTGACGGTCATAAAATAATTATATATTATGACATATTTGTATAAATTAAATAGTTCCTAATAAGTTTAAATCTAGTATCCATATTATATTTGGGTCAATGGAGACTCGTGCTGCTCTGCTGCATTAGGTTTAAGTGGAAGTTCCCTCACCTCACCTGATTTTAGAAGGCAAACTTGTCGAACCCACCAAATGTGGTTCACATAGCTGAAATAACACTTGTCAAAAAAGATAGGCATGAAAACATAAGAAATAAACAGGAGGAAATCACTTCTCAGTATTATTTGAGGAGAGTAAAAATTGTGTATACCGATGTTTCACGACCGCTCTTCTTTAAATTTTATGTTTTTTTTTTAAATAGGCAATGGCCGGAGGGATTCGGCATACATTTCATATTTTGTTACGCCTATGCTGTAATTAAGTCAACCTACATGAGAGTTGTCGTTGCTACTTGCAAGTGGGTTATTGGGTTTCAGTATTATTGAGATTGGTTCAATTGAGAGAAGATCGTATTGTGTGAATGTTACCTCGTACGAATGTTTCAGTATTTCAATGAGACAATGCTTCTGACAGCAACAAGTTACGATCCATCTTAATAATAGGCCGAGACCGAAAGACTTACTTGTGTAGAACAGTGAATTATGTGCGTGAAGAGCTTAAAATATGCATAGCAGTTGCTCTGCCTCTCAACAGAGTCTGTATCTTGTTCAACCTTTGTTTTTTAATTTACAGTGTGCGGTAAAGTTTTATACAGAGCGGTAATCGAACCCACGACCCCCAAGTTTATGGTCTAATACAATAGGCACCACTACGTCATTAGGATCTGTAAAATATTGTTGTAACCTTGTATATAAATCATATTATAGGTCTGTCAAAATGTTAATTGTAGGGGCGTGATACTATTTGATTATTTGCATAGGTATGTTGTCGGTCTGGCACGCGATGGTGGGCAAACTCTTGGTTAAGTTGAGGTGGCATTATTTCAGAAACAAAAGAAAATAATACTAGCTGTATTCCTCGGCTTTTTACAGATTTATCAGTTTTGATGTTATCGGAGAAATGTTGTGTATAGTATTGCATACTTTGCGTACTATGCAATGTCAAGCGGCGGCAGCCTAGTGGTAGGCAAGGCAATGGACTTGCGATCAAGAGGTCGTGGGTTCGAATCCTGACCAGTACACTACCGACGTGAACCCACTCCTAACACAGCAATTTAGCTTAGCTTAGCTGTTTACAATTAAGAATTGTAAACGTTCAAATTCAAATGATGTTAAGAATACGCAGTGTCACCATTTCTTTTCATCCCGTGGGTGTTGTAAGAGGCGACTTAAAGAGTAAAATACACAGGACAACAGCACTGCAAAGTGAAGGAAAGCTTAACGCAAACCCTACACAAACCCGTATGGCCAGTTTAGAAAACCTTCATTTAAGGAGCGGCCTATGTCCAGCAGTGGACTATTAAAGGCTGTTAATGTGATGATATGTTTACAATTTGCACGTAGAAGCTTCTATGCTTACTTATACTTGTTATGCACATTAGTGGTATAAATAATATTACGCCTTATCATGGCCTTCAAGCTAAAGTTAGCTCTAATCTCCTTGCTTATTAGACCTTAACGAATTTTCGTATTAATTACAAGCGATGTGTCAAGTGACAATGTTTTTATTATTATTATTATTATTATTCATTTAATGTCATAACATCACCACCATCACCAGTTATTTAATTATAGAATTTCTGTACCAGTATTACATTTTCTGTGCACAGAGGAAAAGTAATCGACAGTATTAATATTAAACACAATTTTCCCGGGCTATCCGGCTGCAAATATTCCAGATAGGTAAGCGATATCATTATTTTACTTAATGCAAGAAGTTTTTTATCATTAATAGTCAAACGTAATAGAGAGGGCAAGATAATTGTCATCTACTGGGCACATATACTTTTAAATAAACATGCCTGTATATTTCTAAACACACTCGTATTAGATAAACTAGCGGACCCGACAGACGTTGTCCTGTACGTCGTGGTAACGTCCTAAAACCTAAAAAAAATAAGTAAAGAACATTTTGTGGATAGTGGACCAAATTGTGAATCTAAACCATTCTCTAATCCACTTGAATCATCAAAATCGGTCCAGCCGTTTAGGAGAGTTCAGTCACACACTAGCACAGAATAATTATGTTATATATATAGAGATAAAGATTACACCCAATCATCATGCTCATGCCACAATATATGTCCTGGGTGGGAATGGAGCCCACGACCTCCGGCTTATCACTTACCTTCTAAAAAGCCCTGCCGTCCGAGTGGTAGGTACAAGCCATTAATTATTGCTCGCACAGATTTCTGTATACCCTATAATCAACTCATCTCACTTTTTCAATAAAAGCACCGACTGTAAGGTGCCCTTTTGTTGTATCCATATTTGGCACCGATCATAATAAGTGACATCTCATGCCAATTAAAGCATATGAAGGCGATTTAAACGCACTCTAGCTAAAGGTCGATTTCCTTTCATTGATATCTACAGTAAATAAAAGAAATATCATCGTATAAATTTAGACTTTAATGCGTGATGTTAAAGAACAAATTAATATGTGTTTGTATTCAGTAGAATCCTTAATCTTGCTAATAAATTGGTTCTCTGCGGGGTGGTGATAAGATCTGACACTCAATCAATAATGAGACTTGTTAAAAAAAGTTATTTAAAAATATACATACTGAGATTTATGGGATACATAAAAAACACAAAACAAACACACAATATATTGTTAAGTCCCCAAAAATCATTAAACTGAGAGTTTAATGAATCTACGCTTGTGTATGTATAATAATAATAACTACACACATCTCACACACTGGCAGTCTGATCCTTAACTAGGCAGAACATATACTATGGTAACCGAAATGATAAACGTACTTAAATATTTCTAAATACAGACATATTATAGATACATCCCAACACCCAGACACAGAACAAATCATCGTGCTCATCACACAATTATTTTTCCTGGATTTGAATCGAATCCACAGCCTCCGGCTTAGCAGTCAGGGTCACTAATTACCAGACCAATAGGCCCGTCGTGTATTTATCATCATCACATCACATCAACAGCCTTAAATAGTTCATTGCTGGACATAGGCCTCTCTTTAGAAAAGGTTTCCTTCTCTTCGCAGTGGTGTTGTCTCGCGTAGTTAGTGCAATGTGGGCGAAACAAAACAATAAGTGCTTGTACCCGTTCTGTGCGTTACCTTACGAGGAATTGAGACCTTACTCGGAAGCCTTCCATCTTTGGTACCGTTGAATAAGCTATATTTACTTGTATACAATCAATATAATGGTCAAACTAGAGTACTATCAACAGAAAGACGCACAGTAAAATTCAAAATAAATCTATTTTAGCATACATTAAAACTGTAAAGTATTTCTTTAATAGGTCCTAAGTTACATTAAAAATTTCTTCTTATGTTATATTGGCTATAGGCTATAAAATAAAAACTTTATAATCTGCATGGAAAAACGAAAAAGTCATCATCATCAACAGCCTATACTAGTCCACTGCTGGACATAGGCCTCTCCTTAGAAAGGAGGTTTTGGCTTACTATACCACGCTGGCCAGATGGGTTGGTATAGGGTTTGTTTCAAGTTTTCCTTCTCTTTGCAGTTCTGTTATCCTGCTTAGTTTGCTCCCTTAGTCGGCTCTTACGACACCCACGGGATGAACAGGGGTGGTGATACTCCGTGTTCTTAATCCGTCACCACACGGAATGTATGGTACAGTCGTATGGTGTAAGCTTATAAGCACAGGCCTAGTTACTAATTTCAACTTGATACATCAACGCGTTCCGTAGAAAAAGTTTATTTATAGACCGACAGACAACAA